GGAATAGTTGAGTTGGAAGTGACCTTGGGGATCATATACTCTAGCTGCTTTGTTGTACATGGGAGGAAATTTGTTTGGCACTCAGAAAACTGAGCTCTCGTGAAGTGAGTGATTACTGACTTAGTAAAAGAATCTAACGTCTGCTCCTGCCTCATAGGGGGCCATGCTGCCACTTGCCAGGAAAGGAAAACAAAAGATGATATTCAGCTTTTTGAATAAGAGGTAAGATCTTAGGCATTTTTGAGTAGCATATTTCCTCAATATTCAAAGGAAAGCCAACACTGGAATCTTGAATGGAATGGTTGTTAAAAGTCAGTAATGATGTGTATTAACATACAGCTCACTACTGAGGTAGAACATGAAGAAAAGTTTACAGCACAAATTCTTCATTTTTCTAGCATCATGGACCTCTGAGAATTCCTCACTTTCAAAGCATCAGGTTCATTTATTCACTTTTATCAATGACTAAGATTGTATTTAAAAGGGTAGTGTCATTTGTCTTCATATCTTATTTATATATCTATACTATAGTTTTTCACCTATTTTTCAACTATGGCTAGAAAAAAGCAATCACTTGTGTTTTCCCATTTTTTAAGCAATTAATGTCAATCATGTCCCCTGTACAAAATAAACTGGATATGCAAAGAAGAAAGACAACGCTCCTGTCTTTTAGAAGCTGGGTGTAGAAGCAGGAATAGCAGAATGTAGGGCTTATAGAAAGAGTGAAGAAGGACTGGAGGGTGTGTTGTGTGTGGTAGGAGTTGAGCTGGAAAAGATTTGTGACTGTACAGCCTGTATGCCATTCCAAGGAGTTTCTACCTTCTATAGCGAGCCACTGAAAGTTTGTAGCAACGGAGTGTCCTAGATAACACTGGCTTAGGGTGAAGAGACTAGATACTTTTGTGCCTCTTATAAATAGGAGCTGATGAAAAACAGGAAGAAATGTGCCCATCAAACTTTTGAGGGAGACATGAACCTAAAGAAAATTACTGAAAGGCCTGGGAGTTTCCATATCTCTCAAGAGAATCTCCTGGAGAGTCTTTAAGGGAAACAACTACTAACAACATCTGAGCTTTAACTTAATAAAGAAACTAACCTTTAAGGGAACTAGTCACAATTGGGAAATTCCTCATGTTACAAGAGTTCCCTAAGCCTGTACCTTCTCTCACACCAACCACATCTGGCTTCATGCGGTAATCAGCATTTGCAGGTCACAAACCAGAGATAGAATAATATATACAATTTAACAAAAACTGAAAATGAAGTGTACCTAATATAAAGATGAAAACAACATTTCAATAAATATAAATTAAAACATGCAAAACCAGGGGTCGGCAAACAGCGGCTTGCAAGCCACATGCGGCTCATGGTATGTACATGTGGCTCTGAAATAAATTTGAAAATGAAAATAAAACTATTATAGTTTCATTTATAAAATTTTTAAAGGATATTATTCACATAATGGTGATTTCATTTGTTTTGTGGCTCTCAAATAATTTTTAAATTGTTGTGAGTGACAGGATTGGCTCTTTCGTCTCAAAAGTTTGCTGACCTCTGTGCAAAATGATAAATATGTACAACACAAAGATATCATTTTACCAATAAGAAATACAACTAAGAAGAATTATTTAGTAGCATTTCAAAAACTCTTTTAACAAATAGGATCCTAATGCTTTGATCAATAATTCTATGTTCTTTCAGCATTTCTACTTAATTTGGTTTTTACATTGTACCTAGTTTTTCCGATACAAAGTTAACTTTATTGTTGCTCCTAGACACTTTTGTAAATAGTATGAAAGTCTCAAAGGTTTTAATTATTTCAGTTAAATAGGAGTTACAAGTATTTCTAACATTGGTCCTGGAATTCTAATTATCTTCCCAAATTGGGCTGTGGATTTTTCCATTGAATCTCTCTTGAATTAACTGTTTTAGGTGAAGTTCTGGATATTGTATCTTTATGAGATTATGTGCTGGGATTTAGTATCTATTCAAGAAAAATGAAATGATTTTAGGAAGCAGTTATTAGATAATTAAGCTGCTTTTGGTAAAGTATTCAAAAACCTAATGGACATAATTAAAAATAAACTAAGAAAATCAAATTTCTCATTATCATTTCTTTTCTCAATTTGCAGAATGGTCATTCTGCTACATGCTCAACAGCTTTTAAATGATAATATAAAGTCTCATTACAAATTCTAGGATTACTAAAAACTAAAACTCACAGATTTCTCATTATTCCTTTCCTCAGATTCAGAGAATGTTCACGTTATTATATGCCCAATAGTTTTTAAATGATTATGAGGAGTACGATATTACTAATTTTTAGGATTACTTAAGTCCACAGCTACCATTAGCATTTATAGGAAAACTCAGAATAGCTGTTTCAAAATGCTGTTTCAGTTAAGTAGGTAGGATATTGAAAACATTGAAATCTGCTAGTAGATGTTCTTACAAACACACAGTAACTATGGTGAATAAAATCACAACGTATATTGATTGTCCTTTGAATAGAGATGTTTAGTGGACTATTTGTGAAATATCCAAATTTCCCAATTAAATGTTAGAGTAGCAAGCACATGAAAGAAACAATTACTGTAATGTTCTATACTGGAAAGAAAAAGCAAAGGTTTTTATACGGTTTAAAAAATATAATCTGTGTGGGAGCACAGCCAAATGTCAAAAATACAATCTATGTGGGAGAAAATCCAAATGCTGGCAAGGGGAAGCAGTATAGGCTCCTTTGAGGCCAAACATCCCTAAAACACACCAAAGAAAGGACCCTGTGGTTTCTTCTTTTTCATCAAGGATAGAGTTGACCACTCACCATCTTAATGAATTTCTCGTAGGGATAACATATGTGGTCCAAACCCCATGTCATACCTGAGATAAGATGTGATGGAGTCTGACTGAATGGCAGCCTTTTCCTTTTTTAGGTGTGTGATAGTAGAGCTTGGTCTGGGCTAAGATCTGTCTCAGAATTTGTTTGATCTAATCCTACAACATGTCTAGGCCCCCTGATGATAGGAGCAAAACCTCTAAGCCAGTGTATTTTAAGTTGTATATATGAAGCTTAATCTCTTAATGTCTCTTCTTGTACTGTGGTCTGCTGTCACCAAACTAGAATAATTCTACCTCTCAGTACTCTCACCTTGGGTTTAAGTGGCTCTTTCCTGATAGGAAAAGCCTGAATCAAGCTGTGACTGTTCAACAGTTCCTTTCACTGGACAGGCAGGGCTTGGTGGAGGGGAGAAATCCTAAGGTGCAATCATATTACTTGTTCACCTCGCATTTCTGACACTGAGGGTGAAAATGAAACCGAGCCTTTTCTAGTTATCTAAAAGCTATGCAAAACAGTTTTTATTCACTCAAATCTGTAGAAAAGAGTAACTTCTCTATTACAGCATTCTGAGAAACTGTCCAAGAGTCAAAATTACATTGAATTTTTCACTCTATACAAAGGGTTTTTTTTTTCCTTCCTAAAGGCAAAATTAACACAACAATGTGTTTGGGGGACTACTTTACCTCTATGCTGACTATCTTCATAATGCAATATATCACTTTTATTAACCTTTTTGTAATAAATAGAATTTTTAAAGTAGAAGATAAGGTAGACTTTTCACAAGAAAATGAAACAATCTGTAGGTCAGGCTATTACTTTTGTTCTTGCTTTGCAATTACAAAGTAGACATATTGTCAAATGTCCACAGACTCCTTGGTTTGACAAATGGTTATTTCACTCCCTGTCTTCCCTTAAGACATTTTTACCTTTTCCATTGTTCTGAAACATGTCATTCAGAAAGGAGAACTCTAATAGAAAAATGTCTCACACAAAATAAATAACAAAACCTCCAGTTCCAAACTAGGTTAAACATGTAAGGCTTCATGAAAACCTGTCAACTTCACTGTCATTGATGGTTGTGTTACAAGCTCTTATAGAGTGTTTTGCAGTGGGTTTGAAGACCACGTTGTTCATTCGACTACCTCTTTCTTTGTCTCTACCCACTTTACCTTCTCCCTCTCCCGCTTCTCACACACACGCAAAGGCAATTAAGCAAGGTTATAATTCTAATTATCAAGTAGCTATAAAAAGAAATGATATCTGTTTCACTCTGAAGATTTGATGGAATAAGCACACAAAGGGTGAAATTTCCACATCAAGCAAGCTTTCTCTTTGATGAAAGTGGGTCAGGTAATGACAAGACAAAATAAAATGCAGAAATGAAACTAATGGCATGAGATTAATCATGATGCAATTGTTACATTCTAAATCCATGAGGGTAGGGCATTCACAGCACGAACATTCCCTGGAAATTAATCCAACAAGGGCTCATCGAGAAGACCACAAACACCTCACCAAGTAAGTCATTATTGCTGAGGAATAGCTTGTCACACTCAAGAGAGAAGCAACCTGGTGCTTAAAAATGCCTCTTTGTATACTTCCCAGAAAAATTTCAACCTCCTGGATTTCCTAATAAACACTGTTAATATAAAGCAATAATTTCCACTATCAGATAACAGTGATAAATGAAACTAAGAAAAAATATACGCTGAGCTTGGAAATTTCCACATGAAAATAACAATTTCTAGAGTAACACCATACACTCCCTTTTTGGTGGTATTCTCAGTTTGTCTGACTCCGTAACTTCAAAGCATCAGATGACCTGACTTATTTTGTATTGTCCAGATCTGGACAAAGGGTAAATTAGGTTCTTAAGACTTTAATTCTTCTTTCTTTATCTTCTCTGTAACAGCTTTAAAATGAGTCTATCACAATAGGTATTTTGGGTACCCTGTCTCCCAGTGACATTATCTGGAATGCCTGACTTACGCAAACTAATTCATCTGTATCTCTGCGCCACACAGGTCGGTTTCTTCCCCTCCTATTGATCAGTAATTCATTCTTATTCAACCAACATACAGACTTTATACCAAAGCATGCATTCTTTTATCCCACATTAGCTCTTTAACTCATTATCAGCTTCATGGAAAGATCACCTTACCTGGGGCACATCATCTCCTGGACCTGCCACTCCCGGGCGCTCCATTGCCTTTTCTGTTGTGTAGTATTTAATCTCAGTTGTGGCCTTAATGACTCCATCACAGTAGACATTGACATTAATAGGGCCAGCAGGAAAATCTTATAAAATACAAGCAAGAGTTAGGAGCTCATGTCTCACATTATTATGTCTCTTAGAGAATATGAAGGAAGGCTGTAAGAATTCATAACAATTGTACCAACTTCTAGCACTTAAGTGTTTTCTTTTTTATCCTTAGAAATTAGAAACCACAAAATAGAATGTACAATTTTAGAATTATTAAAACAAAACAAAACAAAACAAAACCTTATATGGTAAGAACACATGGTGAAATTATGGTAAAAACAAAGCACTGTCTTTTCTTCCCAACTCCCTAGATTAAAAAAAAATAATCTATAATCATCTTTATATAATACTTTAGAATTTAGAACAATAACACTGTTTATAAAAAAGTTAGGCATTTGTTATCATTCTTATGAAGAATATTCCCACAAATTATAGGCAAGTTCCTCAAAACTGTGTTTGGAAAGAGAAAGAGTGGAGCTGATTGAAATTATAGAACTTTTATTCAATTGATTATAATGAAAAACCCTTGGGAAGGCAAGGTTTAATGCCCTACTATTTAAGTATTAGTTATACCGTACATTTATCCAAAGACTTTTTGTGAACAAGCTGTTTAAAGTAACTGATATACTGCATTGTAAATTCTTCTCAAACATACCAAGAGTTAAAGTCGCCTAAGAATGTTGGGCTTTCCATGAAAGAATAACAATAAACATTCATTTCAATGGAAAAGTCATTGTATTTTATTGTAACAAAAGTAAACAGAATTGAGCTCTTTAAATTCATTTTCAGAACGTACTTTAAAAACTTTCACTCTTTGTTATGGAGGCATTTTCCAAATTCTCCTGGAAAACTGTCACCCAAATATCCGGGGTTTGGAAAAAGCCATTAAGTATAACATTAAGTATAAGATCAAAAAACCAGTTCTAACCTTAGCTGCCTAATGAAGCTTTGAATATTTAAACATTCTTAAGGTGTAAGCATTAATTTTACTTTATCTCCTGAAGAGGTTAAAGGACCTCTTATGGTATTGCTCAGGGAAATTTACAGCTCACAAAAGCAATTTTAAGCTTAACTAGATGAAGAGGCTGAAATCTCCTCTTACCATATTGCTCAACTAGACACTTAACCTGTATTATAAAGGATATATATGTAGAAAAGTTCTCTCTTCCCAAAGTAAATATCTATCTACAATGGAAACCCTGAAAGTTGTAATGTAGGACTAATCAGCTGCAGCTGTGCACCTATGGTATAGGAGGTTCTGGAGTTACTGGAGTCAAATGAAATCAATTTCAGTAGCTTTCATAAAGATGACTTTGAAAGAAGATATTGATATTGTCTATCAGAAAAGAGGTTAGGAGTATTACAATGGGGTGTTAACTTTCTGAAAGCAGGTGATTAATCATGAGAGATATATGATGAGGTTTGCTTGCTGGTTCTTTGATATAAAATATTTAAAACATTCTAATTTCTTTAGAATCTAACATGAAAATGAGCTAATTTATTTCTGATATCTTGAGTCATTAGTTGACTCAAAACTTTGCCATTAATTAGATCTATTAATAATAATGTTGATTTTAGAGTAATCCTCCAAAGAGATGCCCTTTGAAGTACTGTCTTTGTGTGTGCGTGTACATTTTCAAATCTATTAAAAGTCAGTTATTAAGCTAAGACCTAATTACTGTTTCTACCTGTATATCAAGAAGAACTCCTTATAGATCTGTTTGGAAGGCGTTCCTTCATAACATTTTATTGAATTGGACTTTTCATGAACAATAGCCAGTGTGACTTGAGCATTATTTTACTTTAACTATGGTGACTATGATGTCTACATTTTATAGCTCTTCAATAAAAATAAAACCAATTACTTTAAGGACTCAAATATAAGAGAGGAAAAGTGAATTCTGCCATATATTATCTAGACTAAAGTAGGCCAGTCACATTTAACACTGGAAAGACATACAAATATGGATCAAAATCACCAAACCCATCAAGGGTATGATAATCAGTTATGAAGAAGAAAAAAGGTTTACAATGGGAGAAAAATCATGGAACTTCTTATGCCCATCGTACTCAGATACACAACAAAGTGCATTTACAGAGGAGTCATGGTAAAAGCAATTCTATTTAAATTTCATATCTCTAGTTCTAGGCTCTTCAAGTGTCTTTGTCAACCTTTCCTGCCTCCATGATTTAAGTGGCCTGTCTTTTCAGATGAGGGGCAGACTGAAGTAGTTTATGGAAAATATAATCCAAATGTATTTCTGAAGAGTCCAAACTACGTTCACTAATTCCATATAAAAAGATATTTCAAAAATCCATTAATTTAAGAGCTTTTTACTTTCTGTATTTCCATTGTCTGAGAAGCTGTGTTCCTTTATGAACCAATTTTAGCCCTTTTCCACATGGTAAATGTTAAATGAACCCACCTAATGTTTCCATGGAAACTGAAATCAACATGGCTCTTTTGATTAGAACATTATTATGAAATAAATATCAGTAGCTTCAAAACCTTGGTCATGCCTAAAAATGAATATCAATTTTATGTATGTTAAAATTATCTTCCTGAATTATGATATTTAGAAAACTTTCTTACTGTTATTTTTAAAGCAGGTTCAGCATAATATTTGGCACATCTTAAAGTATTTTTCATGCTCTTTCAATGAAATAGGAAGTTATAATCTACATTATTCAGAACATAGTTTCCTAATTAGTAAAGAGATTCTACATCTTTGCAGATTCATTTTACATTCTTTTCAACTTTTAATTGGTTGTCCCCCTGCTGTGTAAAATATTTGAGCTTCAGGTACTAGAGGAATACCTTCTTCCATCTGGGAAAAATTAGTTAATTTTTCTAGTTGGAAGCCTTCAAATATATTTTCATAAGTCTTGGCATGAGCTGAGACTATGGTAACTTTAAATTCATTTAGCACAAAACAGTCTCTGTCAGAGACAAACCTGTGGATGCCATCAGGAAGGTGTGATATTTAAAAATCAAAGTAATTATAAGTGTATCAAGTTATTGGGCTAAAAGAAAGGGGAGAAGGCAAAATTAGAGGATATTTTCTCAAATTAAAAAAATCAGGTTACGATTTGGAAGTGTGTTAAAAGGGAAAGGAGAAGAGCATTTAGGAAAAGAGCATCTTCGGGTTTCTTCCCCGTTTGGTATAATTGTACTTTAACATAATTTTGTTGTGTTTTTTTCTTTTTGAGTTGTTACTAAGGTAAAAAGGAACATAGATTTAAAAAGAACATTAATATAGTACAGTGTTTGTTTGGATGGAGAGGAATCTGAGTTCTTTCTGAGAACTGTAAGATGGAGATCTCAGAATATTTGATATACCTTAAAGCTGAGAGACCACACACACACACACACACACACACACACACACACACACACACACACTCTTAAATGGTTAGGAGGAGGTGTCCAAATAAAAGGAAGAATTAGACTAGTTGGACTTAGAGATATACCCTTCTCTAACAGAAAATGCTAGATGCTTACCCCAATGTGTCTTCTGTTCTTCCTTTTAGAAAAAGATTTTGACTTGTGAAGCACATTTCTACCCAGCTAAAAAGATTAGATTTTCTATTCTTTCCTTCAGCTAGGTAGGACATTGGGATTAGGTTCTGAATAATGAGATACATGCAGATGTGTCTCACAGAAACCTTATTTAATGAGGCCTCCATTTCTTTATCCCAGTGGTGTGTTGATAAACTACCTCTCCAGAAAGATAAAAAAAGAGCCCTGATTTATAGGTTTTGTTATATTTGGTGTAAATATTCCCACCATGGCTGATTTCAAGCTACCAAAGTGTTATGAACTCAATTGCATCCTCCCAAAATTCATATGTTGAAGCCCTAGCCCCTAATGTACTGTACTTGGAGATGAGGCCTTATCTAATAAGAACGGCATCCTTATGAGAAGAGAACGAGACACCAGAAGTACGAGTGCACAGAGAAAAGGCCATGAGAGGACAGAGAGAAGGCAGCTGTCTGCCAGCCGAGGAAAGAAGCCATAAGGCGGCTTCTGGTTCCTTGGTCTCAGACTCCCAGCTTCCAGAACTGAGAAAATAGATATCTGTTGTTTAAGTCATCCATTCTGTGGTATTTTGTTATGACAACCTGAGAAGTTTAATACACAAAGTGCAATCATTGAATATGAAGTAGAGGAGGGGTACACAGAACTGGCTCTTTCAATCCAGCATGAGGTGTTTCCAGCACACCACTGCTTCGTCATGTTTCTTGGATTACAGGTGTGATGGCAAACATCTTAGGAGCCATCTTGCCCCATGATGAATATGGCCACACCCTACGGACTACAGAATGGTGACTAGAAATAAGCCAGGGTCCTGAACAAACTGCGAAGCTGCCATACCAGTCTGCAACACCAGCCAGTCTCAGTATAGGAAACTGGTTACAGCACAAGAGGACACTACAGGGAGCAAATCACATTTTAAGTCACGTGACTGATTAAGTCATGACTCAGATGACCGCAAATCAAGTTACAGGAGCAATTTTACCGGACTGAAAAGAGACTGGACAGATGGAGGTCTCCTGAACTTCATGCATTAATATTCTTCAAAAGAATTCTGAGAGTGGAGAAGAGTTGCTGGTATGCTTCTATTTTGTTTTATTATTTATTTATTTATTTATTTATTCATTCATTTCAGTTGCCGTTGACATTCAATATTATTTTATGTTAGCTTTAGGTGTACAGCATAGTGCTTAGACATTTATATAATTTATGCAGTGACCCCTCTAATTAGTCTAGTGCCCACTTGGCACTCTACATAGTTGTTGCAACACCAATGACTAAATTCTCTACACTGGTTACATCCCCATGACTATTTTGTAACTACCAATTTGTATTTCTTAACCCACTTTAGTTTCTGACCCCTCCATTGTAAGTTGGTATTTTAAGAGGTACAGAAAAATGTTTTAAAAGGCTTAAATCTGTACGGACTATTACTGGAGGATGTGGGATACTGTTTGAGATCATTCCTTGCCCTGGAAGTCACCAGTTAGTACAGGGGTTATATGTAAGATGACATAGAATTGGGAACTCTCCTTAGCATGATTCCTCAAGGGTAAAAGGGGACAAACAAATTTGGTGGCTTTTATATCAAGAAATATAAACAGAGCTGGCTGAGTGGCTCGTTGGTTAAGAGTTGGCTTGGGTCGCCAGCTCGGAGCAGCAGGGCCACTGGTTTGGACCTCACATGGGCCAGTGACGCTGAGCCTTCTACAGCTAAGATGGTGAACAACAGTTCGACCTGGAGCTGGGCTGCCATGAGTCACCAGCAACGGTGTAGGATGCAGTGGGGCTGCAGTGGGCTGCCGTAAGCTACCGTGAGTGGCCAGCCACCAGCTAGCGAGAGCTGCCATGAGCGGCTGTCCAATGGCCAGCGAGCAACTGCCTCACCCAGGAAGAGCACAATGATAATACCAGCATGGGCCAGTGAAGCGACATCCTCCACAACTAGACTGAAGAACAGAAGGACAGCAACTTGTCTGTTGCCCTTCCCCGATTCCCCAAAGCTGTTCCCCTCCCTTAATTCTCCAATAAAATCTTAAAAAGAAAAATAGAGATGTAAACAGAGGACTAAGATAAGAGAGGGACAATACGAGGCGTACAATATTTATAAAGAAAGATAGTTCCCTCAATTCTTTTCTCTGTAGGGAAGAGAAGGAAGTTTTTAAATGGCTTACCATACCCCATCCAAAAGCTGAGGGTGGGTTATTCCAGAAAAAAACCCTCCTTATGTTTAATGGAATTCCTAGAGGGAGAGACCGACACTTTGTTCCTTGGTTGGATGTCTATTTAAGTGTTGTCTTATATCTTTTCTCCCTTATGTCCAAATATCCTATTAGTGAGTACTTGAAATGTAAGAAGAGAAGTTATTTTATCAAAAAGAAAATTGAAGCACAGGATGATCAAGAGACTTGTCTGAAGTTACTCAGTAAATGGCTCCACACAGAATAAAAAGGGTGCTCTTGGTCACTGTTAAGTGTTTCTTAGGCTATGTGCAGATTCTGGACAGATCACTAGCCTTTAAGGGCATGCTGGGTGCTCTCTCTTACTCCATAACTGGTGTAGAGAAAAAGGAAGTCTATTGTACAGTCGGCGGTATTGAGTTGAACTTTCTGAGACGATGGGTTATGTTCTAATAAATCACTTGAAATACAGTTAGTTCAACTGAGAAAGTGAATTTCAGATTTTGTTTAATTGTAATAAACGAAACTTTCAGTCACCAGATGTGTGGCCACAATACAGGCCACGACGTACATCAGTGCAGCTGCAAAGCATACATCCTCTAGCTGTGGCTGGTGACTCACTAGGATATCATGATATCAATTTAGTAGGTTTTGACTAGCATTGAAAAAAATTGAAAAGAAGTAAAATTTCTATCTCTCTGCTTATATTACCTGTATGTTCTTGCATGTTGTCTACTTTCCCATTATAGCCCTTAACATATTAATGAGAGTTATTTAAAATTCCCTGTCTGATCATTCCAATATCCATGTCACATCTAAATGTGGTGTGATGTTTCCTTTAACTCTTCAGATGGATTTTTTTCTTGACTTTTGGCATGACTTGTAATTTCTTCTTGAAAACCAGACATATTGTGTCAGGTACACACACTAAAATAAATAGTCATGTAGTGAGAATTTGTAGTAATTTGGCTAGAAGATGGGCTGCACTTATATTTGCTGGAACTATAGGTACCAGAAGCTTCAAATTTCTCTGTGGTCTATGTTTTTGTATTCCTTCTTGACCTTTGCTTCCCTAAGTCTCCTCCCCAGAAAGAGTCTGTACTTTGCAGTATTTTCAGCTGTAATCTCCCGCCATTATACTGGACCCTGTGATGGTGCTGGTGATCATGCTGGGGGCAAGGGGATCATTCTAATCTTATGATTGAGGCTCAGTTTCCTAATGGGCCTGTGTCTCTTGGCTGTGGCCTTCAGAAGTGTTTCTGCTGTGGCTTAGTTTTCCCCTCCCCACCTTAAGTGAGACAGGAAGGCTCCAGGGGACCACAGTGGATGGACGCAGTTCCTGGCTGGGATGAAGCTCTAGTAAAGTGGTTTCTCCTGTTTCTACGTTTGTTATGGAGAACACACATACTAGAAGTATTTCACCAGGATTATTTTTTCCCTGCGCTGGCAGAGCCTTCCGAAGGTCTTTCTCAGATCTTTGCTCTGAGAACCTGGTGAGGTTCCTGGAGGTAAACCCCCCCAAATTATAGGTGCCTCATAAGACTACAGTCCCCAGGAGCTACTTACTCTCAAACTAGTCCACACTCAGACACCAGCAAGTCATCAAAAGTGCCATTTCAGTACCCTGGCCAGTTTCTGGCTCTAGTGACTTCTGTTCCAAGTAAGTGGATCTTGGATGTCCCTCTCTTGATTTACTTTTCATTTCAGATTTTGGAATAGTGATTTTCCCTGCAACCTTAGTTCTCTGATGAGTTCAAGAAATGTCATTGATTTTCAGCATGTTCAACCTTTTCTTGCTGTAAGAACGGGAGTAACAACATTCAAGCTTTTTACATGACAGGGTTGAAACCATTCGTCTAACTATTGATTATAAAACCTTTGTTTTAATTACGTGTGTATGCACATGTACTGGGTCATGATATAAAATGTATCTCTTGCTAGGGCTCAAAAAATTTCAAGAAACAGTGCCACAAAGCAGAGAAAATAAGACCCTTGAGGCCATTTCTGCTGAGGCATGCCCCATTAGATTGCCATGTGCATAGCAGAAAACATTTCATAAGAAAATCTCTCATTAACTTACAGAACACACCAGTTGAAAGAACAATTTGGAGAGGTTTAATTATCATCACTGGTAAATAGTGATTATTTATTTATGTATTTATTTACTGTAAATTAGCTATTCAATCACATAGACAGTATTATGGCCTGGTATATCTTAGAAAATATGAAATACTAGTTTCTTGCTTTTCTGAAAAACATTGGAACTTTGCCATATTTCATCTTTTACACTGGTCTTAGCTACTAGGTAAACTGAACATCAAATCTTAACGTGAATAATTTTATTTGACACTTTCTTCTGCTAATTAAGAAATATTATCTAAGTACTTCTTAATTTGCAACGTTAATCTTTCTGTAGTGATTTTAGTTTAACTAGATGTGGTTTAAACTCTAAAACTAATTAGTTTATTGTTCATTAAATCATTTTAAAATGTGGCATAAAAAAGTGGAGGGCTTGGGCCGGCCGAGTGGAGCGTTGGTTAAGAGCTGGCTTGGGACGCCAGAGGGCCCCGGTTCAGGTCCCACATATGAGGGCCAGTGACACTGCCCTCTACAGCTAAGATGCTGAACAACAGCTCAACCTGGAGCTGGGCTGCCATGAGTCGCCGGCAACGGCATAGGCTGCAGCCCCTGCTGCAGTGGGTTGCCATGGGCTACAATGTGTAGCCAGCAGCCAGCAGCCAGCGTGATCAGCCAGCAACAGTTATGAGTGGCTGTCCAGAAGCTGGCGACTGATCTGCCTCACCTGGGAAGAGTGCAATGATGGTGCCATCTTGGGCCAGTGAAGCAACATCCTCCACAACGAGACTGAAGAACAAAAGGACGGCAACTTGTCTGTCTGTTCCCCTTCCCTGATTCCCCAAAGCTGTTCTCCTCCCCCAATTCCCCAATAAAATCTTAAAGAAAAAAAAAGTGGAGGGCTTTGCAAGAGAAAGAAAAGAGATAGTGAGATATCTTTCTCATCTCACTTCTGCATATCCTCACCCATGACAAGGTATGAAATGTTTATAAATGCTAGGTGTAGAGTCTTTCCTTTCGATAATCCAAGTCTGACCTCAGCTGTGCAAGTAAATCCATAAACGGACACATGCTTCGCATAACACGATGGAAAAGGTGTGTAGTTTCTCTGTAAATAGATTTACTTCATAATAGCTACATTCTAAAAGGGTGAAAAAGGCTCAGAATGTATTTGACATACTCTTTAATTTTAAATATTTTCACTACGTTTCCAAATTCATAGTAAGATTACCTGTCTCTTACTTTAAAATATTTTATGAAGTTCACATTTATGAAGTTTTATAAGGTATTTTTATTCTGTGATTGTAAAAAGATATCATAAATTCCAAAACCAAGTATTCCTACATTTATATGAAAACATTCAGAAATTAACATATTAGACTTTGATTATAGTACAATTATTGTGGCAAATGTGGATATTCCATCTGGGATTCTCAATCTGATACAGTTTATCACACTTCAAGCAAAGTTGAATAGTGAAATGGCTAGCTTCACAAAGTAAATAAGGAAAAGAGGGAAAGATTTTATATAAAAATGGTACCATGATGATAAAAATAGTGAAAAAGATGTATGCTTTCCAGAACAACCAAAAATATGCTCAGGAGTATGGAGAGAAGGAGCTAGAGATAGAGATAGAGATAGAGACAGAGATAGATAGAGATAGATAGAGACAGAGATAGAGATGATAGAGATAGAAATAGAAAAAGAAAGGAAAAAGTTCAAAGTTCAATAATAAAAAATCCAAATATCTGCTAATCTTGTTACCATAAAGCTAATAATCTTAGTTCCATGTTTAATAGCTGACATATATTAAAGCTGACATATATCAAATACAAAAACATGAGATGTTACCAGCTGTTGTTTCACCACATGGTACATGAGTTAATTTCTCATAATTTACACATTCATACTTTTGTGAATCTAGATTAATAATAACAACCTTGGGTATGTTCAAGTTAAGCACAGGAAACACCTGCAGAACAATATTAGTTTCTGTAGGGAAGTAAAACCATTTATCATAGACTTATTGAAAGAAACTTAGGATGATGGTTTATATTTATTAAAGCATAAAACATTTCTTACCTAAAGCTTTCATACACCAGGCTGTCTTATTCCAAAGGGCTGGCTGTATTCTAATGCATTTATTATTTGACGTAAATTCAACCTCCACAGTTCCAATTACTTCATCTCTCAAAATAATAAATATTTCACCAGGATTCTGCAAGATAAAAAATATCACCCAATTAAGCATTTGAAAATGTTTACAGTAACCAAATAACCCATTACATTTATTTATGATAGAGCTTGTACGTGATCATTGTATGTCTCTTATCATGTCCCTATTTTCAACCATGCTTAGAAATAAAATATGTAAATGTGATTCTCACTACATTTTGAGTTTACCAACGTGATGTCTATTGAATTTTTTCTTCCAATACCATATTTTGCCACTGAACAAACAGTGAGGACATAGCATTTCCCTTTTCCACATGCCTCTTCCCTGTATGTGACACACTGTAACTCACAGTAATGAGCATCACTTCACAGACCTCCAGGGAACTGTAATTCATTGCTAACCAAATTCTTTTTGCAAAGCCTTTTTCTCCACCTTTGTAGGACTAGGTGTGTTTATCTATAAATGAAAGGACCGAACAGGTTTAACTTTAAAATCTCTTAAAATTTACATGATGAATTTTTTTTTAAGTCCAATAGTTTTAAATCTTACCTAATAGAGATTCCCTGGTTATTCTATTTATGATGAATATCTGTGAAGGTTATTGAGCTGACTAAAGTTTATGAATCTAAAAGTTTCAAGGTTTATTAAAGTGAAAAAAAACTAAGTCTATTTATAGAAGGTAAGAAGAGCTATTGAAACCCTTTTTGAAAATTTTTTTTTAATTAGGGATAAGAAGATTGAAATTAGTACAGAGAAAGGAAAGGAATAAATATTTAGTGAGCGTTTATTTTATACTAAAATTTATTCTAAGCACTTTTATATAATGATATTTCCTTTAATCCTAATCAACACACACACACACACACACACACACACACGCACACACAAATGTACACACCAAAACCAAAATGGAAGACTACCATTTTTCTCTTTTATGAGCAAAGTAACTAATACACAGAATTACATCTGAAGAGGAAGCAGAACTACCTAAATTCAAAATCGCACTGTTCATTACATCATGGTGTTTAACCCTTCAAAATAACTAAAAAAAAAAATACAATTTTTTTATTAGCTCACATATCACCCTTCAAAGACTTCCTTCAAAGTCAAACTAAATTTCAGACCCTCACAAAATATATAGGAACCTCATTTATATGCTCTTATAAAATCACGATTACCCCAAAGTCATTACTTTCAAAGTTCTCTTATTTAAATGTTATGTCCCTAAGCAAAAATCACCCACCAATAAAGCTTACATCTTTTTATTTTTTTTAAAGCTTACATCTTTAATGCTCTGTGCCAAAGAGTTTCTACAAATACATTGATGTTCGAAAATCATGTCAGCTGACACTCATCCATTTTGGGGAGTTTTCCCAGGGTCCAGGGCTCCCAAATATTTGTCCACAGGGTATTTTGATCTAAATGTCTCCTCACCAATTAAATTGCACATCAAGAAGGGATCCCATCTCAAGGGAACTACCACTATTCTCCTCTTGCTCTTGCAGCTCATATCCAATGTGTCAGAAACACTTTCCTCTTTCCTGCCCTGTGCCTTCTTTAATGTACCACTTCATGTAAATCCTGAAGGTCAGGGCTGGGAGCCCTTCTGTTCCTCCTATCTGCAACCTACTCGTCACAGGACCTCACTTCTAGCACAGTTCTTCAGTTCCTATGTTGCTCATATCTCTCACCTCACTTCAAATCTTTAATGACTTTCCTTTTCACTTTGGTTCTGATCCCCCATCCTCTGCTTCAAAGTTCTTCAGAGTTCACTTCCATGTGAAATCACTTCTTGTTCAACTTTGACCTCTCCCCTTCTGAACTTAGTAAGCCTGAGCATGCTCTCCAATGTTTTATTCACCCAGTCAACTCATTCTCATTCATGAGTGTTCCCACAGGTTGCTTCTTACCTATCAGATTCCCTCCTTCACAGAGGACATGGCTCCGCCTTTCAGCCTCCTAAAGTTCTAAACAAAACACAAGCACACTCACCACCCAACTGAGGTACTTACGTGTTCATTTTTACCCGGGGCTAGGTTCATGGGCATGTGACCTCTGCAGCTGCCCAGGGCCCTGTGTTTAGAAGAGCCCTGCACTTACTGTCACTGCCTTGGAGTGCTGAGTAATTTGAACAAAGGCTCCCGCATTGTTACTTTGCATTGGGTCCTGCTGATTACACAGTGGGTCCTGTTTGTACATAATGTTGGCATGCCATTTAGTTCCTCATCTCCCTCCGTCTCCCCATACTTATCATCTGCAAGGTCCAACTCAGGTTTTGCCAGCTCCACAAATTCTTCCTACAGCTGTAGCCCATGAGGAGTTGTACGACTTCCCAAGGAACCCCAGAGCATCGCACAGCCACGCTTTTATTGGACCCTTTCTACATCCTGCCCTCCCCCCCAACATCCCACCCTCTCTTAATTAGTGTTTCATGTCTGCGTCTTGGCTTCCCATCTAGATTTTAAACATCCTGAAGGTACTTTTATTTTTTCATGTCATTGCAGCATCTTGTAAGAACTTTGAACATAAGACAATCTGTATATGTTTTCATTAAGATGGAATAAAGTCTGTAAAAACTATGACTTTTTTTAAACGATCATGCTCAGCTCTATTCCTTATCTCCCTCAGGACTCATAGCTTCATCTGGCCCCTGCATCTCCACACAGGAAGTGGCCCGTTCTGCTCTGGGGGCGGGGGGAAGCCTGCACCTATACAACCCTGTCCTTAATTATTGCAGACATCTTAATTAAAGATGGAATTATATGGATAAATTCGATTCCATGAAGAAAATGCTAGGATATGCAAATAGCCATCAATTTAGTTTGATCAGTTATGGAGCTGTTATTTTGCTCTCAATCTTTTCTCTGTTTATCCCTTATTTAGTTCTGAGAATGCAGAGCAAGAAAGAGCTATGATACTTATCACCTCCAAACACTGTTTTGCTGCGTTCATCAAAAACTTTGAGACCTAAACAAAAGCGCTGGAACTTGGTCTACAGTATGACATATAGATAGTAAAGTTTCTGGTTCTGTCAGGGTAGGTGTCTTTAGGCTTTAATGATTTATTAAATCATTATGCAACAAAGGATTTTGATCCTAGTGGATCATCATATCAGATTACTATTAATATCATGTTTGTATGCACACCAATGGCTCTTTCTCTATATTCATGACTGCTTTAATCGCCACTAGCTTAACAAGCATAGAGGCATGGGCCTTATTAAGCCAGGACTGTGCAGGAGGCTATAGCTGTCATGGATCTGACCCATGACAGCAAAGCAAGGATTAGGTTATGGCCATGGATGCACATTTGGCTGCTAATTCTTACCTTCAGAATCACCTGGGAAGATTTTAAAGCTCCCGATGTGCAGGCCATAACCCAGGCCATTTATATTTCAATCACTGGGTATAGAATTCAGATAATATTATTTTTTTAAAAAAAATTCATTAGTAGTTCCTCTAGGCATCTTAATTTGAGAACCACTTGCTTAAAGGGAAAACACATTTGTTGGTCATTGTAAAACCTGACCATCAAAGGGACAGCACTTTACAACATAGACTTTTTTGACATTAATACATGCAATAATTTTTTTGCTACTTTTACTGTGTTTTTCAATTATATCACAGGATCTGACTTTAGGTTAAGGATGGTTACCAAAAACTAATGTGTGCTTTGGTGTCAGAAATAAGTGGGCAGTGTTATTAGCTTCTGTACATCGTTTTATTCTGGATTCAGGGCCAAAGGATAAATAGGTAGGAGGTTATCTCTGAGATTCTTGCGGCTTGCCCATGGGACCGTGTGAGTCACACCCACTCATATAGTCTCAGAGTTTCTCTAGATTTGTTAATTACATAGTCTGCGGTCTATACTATGGGTCTGGACACTCATATGGCTGTAGCCATAGAGGTATGTGAACAAACAGGTCCAATAAACTGAAGGTCTTTATTAGGGAATATGCCATGTTCTGGGATTCAGCTAAACAGACAATTCAATGAAACTAATATAGATCTAAGTGGTGATAAAGCCACTTAAAGGGGCTTTAGTGGTTATATTATAACTTTAAGAATTAAATTTGCTCAAGAAATCAACAAGTGACTGGACTGATTTTAAAAATATGATTGTGTTATCATCAGAACAGCGGCACCAGTAGAATAATATAAAAATAAAGGAGTATTTGTAATATCAGAGGTAGTAAGAGGCTTGGTGGGGGGAGGGCCTGGGGGGAAAGCTGAGATTGCAGTGAACAGATTCTACCAAAAGGAAGGGAAAACGATCAATTAAAGACCTGCCTACACTGATAAAATGAGATAAAGAAAAGAAGCTCACTCTTAACGGCTCTTTGGGATGGTGCTATTAAAGAAGAAATATAGAAACCATTACTGGACCTGTGACGGGGACTCACAGAAATAACAGGAGAGGCAGGAGGCATCAGAGTGCAAACTACAGGACTTCTGAGGCAGCTTATCAAGGAAAACTTTCAGAGACTCCCTCTTAAAGCTCCAGGTAAAATCCATAAAAATGAGTAACTGGAATCACTGCTTACAGATGACACAGCTCTAGCAAGTGATGATAGAACAGCTGGGTGGATTGCAGAGAAGTCTCTGAAGGGAGCACTGGATTTCTGATGCCTTTATTAGGTGATGTGATGGTTACTTATTACTGCAAGGGGCATAAATGTATTTCCTATCCTCTGAGACGGGATTTAACCTGGACACTATTGACATTTTTGGACCAGAGAAGCCACTGGATGTTTAGCAGCATCTCTGGCTTCCACCCATTAGATGCCAGTAGCAGCCACCCCTATCCCCCAGTTGTGATCATCAAAGCTGTCTGTACACTTTGCCAAATATCCCCTAGGGGAAGGGGACAAACTCACTCCCAGATGAAAACCACTGCTTTGAGGGAATTTGCCAAAAAAATTAACGAAATTAGGACATCGGAATAATACACAGAACAGGGGCGAGAAGCTAGCAAATAATAGACCAGGTCCAGTGTGTGTCTAATTTAGATGTTATTGCCATAGTAGAATGCTTCCCAGGTAGAATTTTCATCATGGGTATAATAAAATTGGATAAGATTCATGTAAATAATGGATGCCCCTGGCAGACTTCTAACCCACTGGCTTTGCATCTCTCAAAATCGAATACCCTGAAAGGCAAAAATCAAGAAGAATATGCTAGAAAAGCAAATGCCTTGGCCCATAAACAAAAAGATTAAAAAATACCAGAATAAAACAAAAAATGCTTACCTTAGAAACAGTAAAGCATGGGGCCAAATTAAACAGCAGATTTAACCAGTTAAAACTCATCTGGGTACTTCTCAAAGAGACAGGGAATAATTTTTACATAGAGCACTGTAGGCATATCTTCACCAAGGCATGACAAAAAAATGTTGAAGAAAAAATATTTTCTGTTTTCCAGGTAGCACAAGATTTCCAAGGCCCAGGAAATGGAAATTCCATGGAAAGGAACAATGCTGGCAAAAATGACAAGGCAGAGGGAACAACACCCCCAGGCTCCTATGTTCAAAAGCAGTAGCAGCATCGCCCACAGCCTCAGTTAAAGAATCTTCTAAAGCTGACTCTCCAGAACAGATGACGGAGCAGGGAGGGTACTTCTCTGGAGGCGGGTCCTCAGATCCAAGCAGTGGCAGGACAGATTCAAACCAACTCCCTGTTTCTCAGAGAGATGAAGGTTGTGCCACTAGATAGAACTCACAGTCAGCTCAGTGCTGGCATGCTGGAAACACCGCACTGCAAGGGGAGAGTAATCGATTTGGAAGACATGGTATGAAAGGCACTAGCTGTTGAATAAGACCCAGTGCCTGGCAGTAACACTGTTGTTCATTTCTAGATTTTGTCAGATGGCAGGCAAGTCAAATATCACCTCCTGAGAGAGGAGGCCATCTTTTTAAGGGGTCTCTATTCACCCACTCATTGGAGGAAATCTCAGAAATGAGTACGTTCAAAGGTTGTGCTTTCAGACAACTGTCATACCTGTAGACTGAATGTTATTCTGGCAAATTGCAAACATGGTTTTCACTCATTTGGATACAAATGATGTTTCCTGTGGTGTTTGGCAATTGTCATATAGATTTAGATTGTACTAAGATCTAGGTTCTGAAAACACAAGATTTTGACTGGAATAACTATTTTTGGCCCAGGGATTAGCTTATTTTGAATGTTTAGGCTGTGGGGCTGGTGCTAAAATATTCTTATATGACCTTTCAACTCTTAGGATTGCTTAAAAAGTAGGGTACCCGACGGAAATCTGAAAATGGAATCATTTAACTTCAGAGGGGCTGAAAGAACGATATTCATGTCAACAAAAGACAGCCCATCGTGGTGCCATTGAAAGAACCCTGATGCTAACCAGCCATCTGAGTGAGCGATCTCTCTAGAGGGCAGTGGGGTTTAATTTTTGCATACTTATTTCTCTGCAGATTTAATAATGGGAAGGTTTTATATTGTTTAAAATTTACTGCGACAGATATTTTTTAAAACAGCCATTTAGACCCATTGCATAATTCCTGATGAGTTATTTTTAGTTCCAGAGGGTTTTTTGTGTTTTTTTTTTGTTTTATTTTGTTTTGCTTTTTCTGCTTTGATTTTACCTACTTGAGAACAGTTCTCTTTTATTATAATCTCATCTATTTATGCTTCTCTTCCATTATCCCTGACTTAATAGAAGCCACTGGTTCTGATTATTTAGCTTGATCTTCCTCCCTTGAGTTCTTGAGTCCTTTAAGTAGGTTGCAGTTTTGCTTGGCCTATCTGTGCCAGTTCCCTTAAACCTGTACAGCTCAGGTTCTGGGGTCTCTAAGGCAGTGTCAAGAAAAGTTTTTGTTGCTCTGAAACTGATAGCATAATAACTTAAACCAAAGATTCTTCTGCTTACCCCTGAAGGCAGGGTGTTAGGGAATTAAATTTTGCCCCATTGCACAGACTGTGCAGCACCCTCAGTGCCAGCAGCATTAGGACAGCCTATCCCCGAACACATCTCCCAGTAAGCAGACAATGCAGCCCCTGTCATCCCATGGCGTAAACCCACCGTCTTCTAGCATAAGGACCCTTGCATGCAAAGTCCTAAGGCTCTCCTGTGTCTTTGGCTCCTCCCTCTCAAAGACTTCACAGGCACGAAGAGCCATCATTCATTTCTAGTCCAAAGGTTACAAAGCCTGAGATTAGGGTCAAGCTCTACCAGGAGCCTTATTTCAGCTATTCACTCCAAGGAAGACAGGAGGGGAAAAAATGTCAGCAACATGTACTCTTTTAGTCACCTTCAGAAACCCACCTCCCCCTTTATTATACTTTTATTTCCAAAAGGATCAGCTCTTGTAGCTCTTTTTTTTTAATTAAAATTATGTACAAAAGACTAGACTGCTATCTGTCACCGTGTAAAAAAATCAACTAAAAATGGATCAAAGACCTAAACATAAGACCTGAAACAATAAACTACACAGAAGAAAACATGGGTATTAAACTTATGGACCTTGGATTGAAAAAGGATTTTATGAATTTGACCTCAAAGACAAGGGAAGTAAAAGCTAAAATAAATGAATGGGACCATATCAAATTAAAAAGCTTCTGCACAGCAAAAAAAACCATCGACAAAATAAAGAGGCAACCAACTGAATAAGAGAAGATTTTTGCAAACAACGCCTCCGATAAAGGATTAATATCCAAAATATTTAAGGAACTCTTGTAGCTCTTATAATATTTTCACTTAGCAATGTAGGCCTCTGATGCATGTTTTATGATTGAAAAATTGGTGGTCCTGAAAAGAAGTATTTTCAAATTTTATTAAAGAATATTTTTTCCCTTTATAAAAATAAAATATTTAATCTGGTTAATATGATTCCAACTTTCTTTGATGTAGCTTGATATATATAAAGCAACTGCAAATCTGTGTGCAATGCATTAAGTAACAGTTGATAAAATTAAGGTCTCATATATTCTCCAATAGCTAATTATTCAACAATTACGTTTTAAATGCCTACTAATTACCAGACATTGTTTTCGGTACTGAGAACACAGCCATGAACAAAGACAAAAATGCCAGTTATGTTAGAGTTTACATTCTAGTGTATGTAAAAGTTCACAAATGTAGATTATAATACAACTAAGTGAAATGCATTTTCCATTAAAACAATAGTGCCACTTAAGTAACAAGGCATCTTTACTGACCTCACACGGAATTTCAGTGGGAAGCACCATTGCTAGTGGTATGGTGCTTCTTGAAGTTTCTGACAATTCTTCAGTTTCCACTCTCTCACTTAGTTCTCCAGGATGTTCCACTCTTAGGTCTATTGGAATATCGAACTGAACGTAGTCCTCAGAACCTAGACAAAAATTCATGAACATAGATTATATTATAGCTAAGACCATATTATTTCCTCCATTATAAAGACAAAATGCTGAACAATTGATTTAATTAATATACAGAACAATCACACTTCATTTAAGTGAGCTGAAATAATTGAACTAATGTTTATAATTACAATAATGCTTCACAATTGAACAAGTGTTATGACCATAGTAACTAGACTAAAGCAACTATATAATATGTTCATCTACTAGTTAAATGTTTTCTCCAGAAAAATGCAACTAATACTTAATATTTTCTCTTACTGTTAAGACAGTAAATCTGAAAAACTCTGTTTTCAATGACTGTTATTAAGATTTATTTCATTTTAAATTGGAACATTTTAAATCACAACAATTATTTAGCCTTTACATATATTTCTAGTTTTCAAAAACAAAAAGCTTAACTAGGAGACATCACTAAATAATCTAATATTTCAACGAAATACTAGTTTAATAGTGGAATATTAGTGTTCATCAAAATGTTAATGTGTTCTGTGAAAAAAAGTGTTTCACATCAAATAAGTTTGGTTTCTTTATGGCAGTATTACTAAAAACATTGAAATATACTAATGTGAATTTTGAATCTCAGAGAAGGAGAAATAGTATTTTTTAAAAATTATTTTAATATTTAGTAATTTAGCATTTGGTCTCAATCATTTAAACACATTTCTGTATTTAAGAAAAACATTGCCTTCAGAGAGATAGTAATATTTTTATTACTTAATGTGTCAAAGCCCAAAACATTTAATTAGGGCACAGAAGTAATGTGGGTGAAACCAAGGTTCTCACAACCAGATAACTCTTAGGCCAACCCCCAAAATATCCCTCAAATTCCCAAAGAAGGGGATTGGGAAAAAGGAAAAAAGACCCTAATGCTAGAAACAGGCCAGACACTGTGTAAAGGCCATGGTGTTGCAAAGAGCTTGCCTGGCACTTATAGCTCCACCTTGGTGCTCTCCTATTGAACATCAACAATTTCACAGAATATCAGCATCAGACAAGACCACTCTGTCACCATGATAAAAATCAAGTTAGAGATGAGACCACTTTATAATCATGTCTGAATCCAGGCAAAACCAGGAACATTGACCAAACCACAAAAATGACCACTATCCAAAATTCTAGTTCCTGTGAGTGAAGTTGCCTCTTCGCCAATTCCAGCCTTAGCCTCTTTTCACTTCTCCTGCCTTCTGGATAGAGTAATGCGCTCCTCCCAGTTGGCTGAGTTTCCTGCTTTGGCCACTGAAAATGCTGGGCCCCCGGAACCCCTCTGCCTCAAGCACGCTGGGAGAGTTGGTCACCCTACTTCTTGATAAAAGTCATGAATGTGCCAGATCATAAAATTATACCTGCTTTCTGACACAAGCAATTGGTAGCCATGCTTCCTTGAACCTTCCCTCAAATCACTTAACACAAGCTTAAATTCTACAATAAATCTTTTCTAACGCCCTCTTAGTGAGACACCCTATCATCTCCATGGTGTGCCCTCTATTCATCGCAAATAGCAAAATATCCAAGTATCTCAAGGGCAGGTGTATTCTTAGTGGTCTTTGGTTAAAGGATATTGACAGGATAAAAAGGAAGAAGAGCCAAAGGCAATATGGCTGGAAATAGGTAGATTTTTGGTCTCATTATATCAAAAAAAAAAGAAAAGAAATAAATAAAGAAAAAAAAGTGAAGTCACCAGTTTCATAAGGTAATTCTATCAGAAATGCAGAGTAAAAAATGAGGTGCCCTCTAGAGAGAAACTGTCTCCATGCTACATCTAAAAAGGAGAAGTTTTTTTCTGCCTTATGAAATGTATAGAATAAAAGCACAAAAGCACTGGGGATTTCCAGATTTCTCTTAGTACTAGGCTTGCTTGAAATGAAAAACAACCTTTATCCCTCTAACAATTTAAAACACTTTCATAAAAAAATCTCATTCTCTTTCCTCTCTCTCTCTCTCTCTCTCCTCTCTCTTCTCTCTCTCTCTATCACACACACATACACACAGAGACATCAAAACAGTAAAAGTTTATTTAAAACTGGCTCAATCATTTTGTAAATTGATGAAAAAACAACAAAAAACTGATTGTATTTAATACACCTTAAAAGGAGGTGTAAATTATTCCACTATGGAAGTATCTAGGATGTTGTCTACTAATTTCTCTGTGGTATTAGATTACAAAGAGCTTAATTTACCCTGAGGACATAATCATAGATATACAAAATGATTTATCTCTATTAATGTTCACAGAAGCACAATTTATAATGCAGAAAATGGGAAGCAGTCTTAACAATAAAGGAACAGAGAGAAAAATGAATATGATACAAGATATTGTCACTAATAAAAATCTGATCAAAGAATATTTAACAAGAAAGAAGTTTGTGATATAATTAAGAAAATTCAAGTTACAGCGTTGTCAATTTAGTAGGTTCCCATTTAAAAAAAAATAGGACCTCTGGTTTCAGGTTTCACATGTAAGGAGCTTTGGAAGTCTCCATGTCATCCTAACAACCAGAAAGCTGAACACATTGAAAAATCAACAACTCTTTTTTCATCCTTCAGAAAAAGGTGGACACAGCACAACTGCTGACCCAAGAGTTGGAGAGACAGGCAGAAAAAAACACAGGTAGTCTCAGCATGCCAGACCAGAGACTCTGGAGTGAAAACTACCCAGGAACAAGTTCCAGGGAGGGAAAACTGACATGAAATTGACATGCTGGATGTGCAATGTGGACAAGTCTGAGCATTAAAAACCCCACAGGAATCCAGTAAATGTGGGAGTGAGAGAGGAAGGGGGGGCACATTATTTTGAGATTTATATCCCCCAGAAGTCTGACCAGATTCCCATAGTAAATATTAGAGAAAATAAACCATTTTAAAATACTCCAGATATTTCTTCTTAAAATGACCACCCCTCAAAGGAAACTTGTTAGCCAGAGCCTAACCTACTGAGGTATTATTGAAATCTAGCTGACACGGGGAAGAGAAATACCCAATTACATCCCATTGTAGCCACCTGGTCCCACCTAAGGTGCAGAAAAACTGAGAAACTCTTGTGAGGTTCATAGTCCAGAGGCATAGGCTCACTAAACAACTGAGAACTAATCATAGAACAACAAAAAGCCTGCTCTTCCCCTACACCTCAGCACCACATTACTAAAGACCTATCTACAGCAGTTCCTTTTACCCTATATATCATGTTGACTATAAAAAAATTACAAGGCATATCAAAATGAAACAAGCACAATTTGAAGAGACAGAGCAAGCATCAGAACCAGACATGGAAGGGATGCTGGAATTATCAGACCAGCAATTTAAAACAACTCATTAATATGCTAAGGGCTCTACTGGATAAAATAGACAACATTCAAGAACAGATGTCTAATGTAGGCAGAGAGATGGAAAGCCTAAGAAATAATAAAAAAGAAATGTTAGTGATCAAAAACATTGTAACAGAAATGAAGAATGCCTTTGATGGATTTATTAGTAGACTGAACATGACAGGGAAGAATCTTCAAGCTAGAGGATATATCAATATAATTTTTGAGAACTGAAAAGCAAATATAAAAAAAGACTGAAAAAAAAACCCAACCTCATAATGGAAAACCCAAGGACTGTGAGAAAACTACAAAAGTTGTGACATATGCATATGTGTAATAGGAAAACCAGAAGTAGAAGAGAGAGACAAAGGAACAGGAAATAGCCTGAACAATAATGACTGAGAGTTTCCCCAAATTAATGTCTGACACCAAGTCACAGATCAAGGAAACTCAGAGAATACCAACTAGGACAAATTCCCCAAAAAGTACAGCAACAGATAACATCTTAAAGAGCAGAAATTCAAAGACAGAAAAGAAAAATCCTGAAACCAGCTAGAGTGAAAGAAACTTACCTATAGAGGAACAAAGATAAGAATTACATCTGATTTCTTCTCAGAAACCATGGAAGCAAGAAGAGAGTGGAGTGAAATACTTAAAGTATAAGAGAATGAAATCTCTAACCCAGAATTCTGTAACCTGTGAAATTACCCTCGAAATGTGAAGGAGAAATAGATTTATCAGAAAAACACATATTGAGATAATCTGTTATAAATAGACCTGCCTGAAAAAAAAGTTAAAAGAAGTTCTTCAGTGAAAATGAAAATAATATAGGTCAGAAGCTCAGGTTTACATAAAGAGGGGAAGATCATAAAGAAGGAATAAGAATGAAGGTAAAATTAAAACATTTATTTTTCTGAATACAATTAATCTAACATATAAAAAATAATAGCAACAATGTATTCAAATATGTATGCTTATGCATTATATATATATATATATATATATATTTCTTATGTATGTTTATATAAAATGAAGTGAATGGCAGCAATAATACAAGTGATAGGAGGGAAGAATTAGAATTATTTTGTTATTATAAGGTACTAACACTACCTTGAAGTAGTCAAATGTTATTTGAAAGTGATTTGGATTAGTTGTAAATGTATATTGCAAACTCTAGGGAAAAAAAATTAAAAAGTGAAAAAAAAGTATAACTGATATGCTAAGAAGGAGAGAAAATGGAATCATATAAAATGCTAAATTAAAATCACAAATGGCTGAAAAGAGTAGAAGACAAAAATTGGAACAAAGAATAACAGCAACAAAAAAGAAAACAATGAATATGGTAGATATTAATCCAACTAAATCAATAATCACTTCAAATGTCAATGGTCTAAATGCATCAAATAAAAAACAGAGATTGTAATAGTTGATCAGAAAATAAGACCCAACTATATGTTTTCTAAAAGAAACCCACTTTAAATATAATGAAATATAATGATTAAAAGTAAATGGATGGAGTGGCTCAGTTGGTTAAGAGCTCGCTCAAGAGTTTGAGCTCTGAGCAACAGCGGTTCGAGTCCAGCCCGAGCTGAGCAGCCGCTGAGCTGCCAACAGGTAGCAGGATGGCTCAGCTAAAAAAAAAAAAAAAAGTAAATGGATGGAGAAAA